ATTGTTAATCGTAAAATGGTTGTAATTCTTGTATTCAGTAAGCCTCATCATCTGGAATATATACCATTGATAGCTGGGGTATTTAGCGCTGTATTTTTATGCTAGAAGAAAATGACTCCTTTTGAATCAAACGTTATTTCATTTGATTGAAAACATGTTTGATGGAAAGTATTTAAAAGTATTTGGTGCAACGGGATGAGAGAAAAACGCTTTTCACAGAATTTTGCCGGAGAGTTAGAAATCTAGGCCTAGTGCGCAGTTACACGAATATTTCGCGAAAACTTGAAAGTGAAATTTTTTGATTAATATTTTGTCCTTGTAGTGAGGGATTGCCTTGAAATTTTGTAATTATTTTGGAGCAGTTGAAAGTTGAAGAAAATACTGACCTAAAGTGACTGAATAGACTATATTTGTCTAGTTTGAGTGAATTATTTCGAGACTTGTCAGTTATATTTGGTTCAGCTGTTGAATACTCAACTCTCGATCGCTCAAACGTCGATTGACGAAGTTTCACGCCCCAGCTAGGAAAAGAAATTCCAATTCAAAAACGGTATTTTTGAATTGGAAAAAAGCATTGGAATCTAAAGTAAAGAAAAAGTAAGTAGAGTCATAGCGAAAGAACATTTATCATTTGACGTACGACACAGTACTTTCTCCAAAACAACGCATAATCACTTTTTCTCATGAGAAGATAGTCCAGATCATGACAATAATTTCGTTTAAAATAAGTTAGAAACTGGTTCGTTCTCCTTAAGGGCACTATTGGATAATTTTCTTTTTTTGTTCATTATTAATTTTAGTGGCCTTCTTAAGATGTTCGTTGCATTCCATGTAAATAGTACATGACAAAACTGACTACACCAATCGAAAGAATAGAGTTTAGACTATATTTTGGATCATATTATAATGAAGTTGTTACACAAAAGAGAATAGGATGAAATTGTGACTCGATAACTCAGGTAATTAGAGCGTTGACACGGAATATCATGATCCTGGGTTCGAGTCCTATTCGAATCATATTTTCTTTCGTTCAGTTGTTTCACATCATTTCAGAAATAACAATATACGTCATTTAACAAAAGATATAATCTGTTATTTTCGAAATTTGAAAATAAGGAAGATCTAAACACAAGATTGTGCAAGAACTTTTGACTTACTCCATGGGGAAATTTTGTTGAAGTATCACGACGTTGAGATCGTGCAGTTGCAACATCAAATGCATAATCACGTGTGAACTTTCTATAATTTTATACTCGTTTACAAGCAAAAATTTCTTTTCACACACCATTTTACAATGTCGATATGCCACCACAGTTCATTTCACGATATTCATCACTAACGTGTAGTTGATATTTTAGAACGTTTTGATGTTACATTTCTTCATTTTGTTTTCTTCTTCAGAGTCATATGAAAAGTATGGAACAAATGAATTAGAAGACGATAAACCTGATATAGTGGCAAAAGTAAAGAATGCTGATGAAGACAGTCGATTCAGAATTAAAGAAAGATCTATTTTACAAGCAAAATTAACTAAATTAGCCATACAAATTGGTTATGCTGGTAAATTGGGTTCAATCTTTAAAATTGTCCCGTTAACAACTTTTTTTATGTTACTTGTGATTGAGACCTCATTTTACCGTGCTTTATTATTCCTGACTGTTGTTATTTCATTTTCTGTACATTTCAGGCATGACAATGGCCATATTAACCATAGTCGTATTATTAATTCGTTTTTCGGTTGAAGAATTTGCTTATAAAAAAGAAAAATGGAATAATAAATATTGGAATCGTTTAGTAAAATATTTAATCACCGGTATATCAGTGTTAGTCGTAGCCGTTCCTGAAGGTTTACCGCTAGCTGTCACAATATCATTGGCCTACGCTGTTAAAGTAAAAACATAATTTAAACTAAAAACATGCTAGTGTGTTCAGAGATAATTATACTTCTTTTTTTTTAACTTTGTTTTAGCAAATGATGCACGATAATAATTTGGTGAGACATTTGGATGCATGTGAAACAATGGGTAATGTTACGGCAATATGTTCTGATAAAACGGGAACATTGACAACAAATCGTATGACAGTTGTGCAAGTATACGTGGGTGAAAAATATTATAAAAATATAGAACAACTACAAAAAGGGAACGAAATGGTTATACCAATTAGAACACGTGATATTATTATAGAAGGCATTGCAGTCAACAGTAGTTATTCGACCAAATTATTGGTATGTGAATAAATGTTCGTTTAAGTTGACGTATTGTTGAATGGATCGTTACCATTAGATGTATAGTTTTTTCGTTGTATATTTGCTAATGTTCATGATTAGTTAATGAATTAATATTTATTTTTTATTATCAATTTTTTAGCCTCCATCTGAGAAAGAGACGCTACCAAAACAAGTTGGTAATAAAACTGAATGTGCTTTATTGAGTTTTGTTGTTAATTGTGGTGGATCGTATGATGAAATTCGGCAACGTTATCCAGAAGAATGTTTTGTTCATGTTTATACTTTCAATTCGGTCAGAAAATATATGTCAACAGTTATAGAACAAGATGATGGAACGATAAGAATGTTTACGAAAGGAGCATCAGAAATTGTGCTGAAAAAGTGAGTTTATTTTCTATGTATAGTATTAAATATTAGATGAGAATTATGTGAAGAAATATTTGGAAAAACAAAGTATTTTTGTCCTCTTTCTCGTTTACTGTTATGATAGTTACTCAAACTATCTTTCTTACCCTTTTTGTATTTTAGATGTACATCTATTTTGAACTGTAATGGTGAAACGGTACCATTCTCATCTGTTGATTATGACCGTCTTGTTCAAAGTGTCATTGAACCAATGTCATGTGATGGACTAAGAACAATTTGTATTGCATTCAAAGATTATCGACAAGGTTAAGTTAATAATCTCATATAGTTTCGTTATATGATGAATTATAATCTTATAGGAGAATTACCTGATTGGGATGATGAAACAAACGTTGTGGAAGATTTAACTTGTATCTCTTTATGTGGAATTGAAGATCCAGTTAGACCGGAAGTAAGTTATTTTAATTAATAAAGTTTTAACATGAAAAGGAAGGAGACCTTTGATGAACTAAATAAGATAATAAAATGGATATTTCGTGATTGTATTCTACAAGATATAAAACTAAACTTAACTAAACAAATAAAATATGTTATGTAATAATATACACAATAAATAGTTTCTTATCATTAACATTTGCAAAATGCTATTGATTGTCATCACTTTATTATGAGTCACAAAAATTATTTTATTTTATTATTTTTTAGGTTATATCAGCTATTAATAAATGTAAAAAAGCTGGTATAACAGTACGAATGGTCACCGGAGATAATGTACATACAGCGCGATCAATAGCTATTAAATGTGGTATTATCACACCCAATGATAGTTTCTTAGTTTTGGATGGAAAAGAATTTAACAGAAGAATTAGACGAAAACAAAATGGACATGTATATATTTTCTTTCCTCAACGACTGTAATATTGACCTGTTTAACTGGTGTTTGTATTTATCTGTAGATTGATCAAGTTCAATTTGATAAAGTATGGCCTAATTTACGTGTATTAGCTCGTTCATCTCCACAAGATAAATATATGGTTGTAACTGGAATAATTGCATCAAAAATAAATCCATCGCGAGAAGTGGTGGCCGTAACGGGAGATGGAACAAATGATGGACCAGCGTTGAAAAAAGCTGATGTTGGATTTGCTATGGTATGTAATGGAGAGCAACATATTTACAAAAAAAGAAAAAAAAATTGGAACGAATGATATTGAATATAATTCTAAGTTTGATTTAGGGTATTCAAGGTACAGATGTGGCGAAAGAAGCATCGGATATTATATTAGTTGATGACGATTTTTCAAGCATAGTTAAAGCAATAATGTGGGGTCGTAATGTATATGATAGTATTGCAAAATTTTTACAATTTCAATTAACGGCAAATTTATCGGCTGGTTTAATATCTGTTATATCAGCTGCAGCTATTAGCGTATGTATTAAAATTTTCATTTTTGATTGTCATATAACAGAACAAAATCGACAGATATTATCCTGGCCCACTCGTTAGGAAGCTTAAAATTTCAAATGCTGTTTCAAGGATTGTCATCTTGAATAGAATACTTTCTAAAAGATTACATAAAAAATGAAGTAGATTATGTTTAGATGACAGTTTTATACAAATTACTTTGACAGATTAAGGTCACCTATGAAATTAATTACTTAGTTTATCTTATTTCAGACTGTGCCATTACGTGCTGTTCAAATGCTTTGGGTCAACTTGGTTATGGATACACTAGCATCATTAGCGTTAGCATCCGAAAAACCAACAGAAGAACTTTTAAAACGAAAACCGTATGGACGAACAAGATCGATAATATCTCGTCTTATGCTACGTAATATAATTGGACAAAGTTTATATCAATTAGCTGTTATGTTTGTCATATTGTATTGTGGTAAGACATTCGATCATAACCGTTTCTGTCACTTTTATTATTATTATCATCATCATCATTTCTGTTATATAGGTGAAGAATTTTTAAATGTTAATTCAGCTATTCATACGGTTGAAGATAATAGAAAACCAAATCAACATTTTACCATTGTATTTAATGCTTTTGTATTAATGACTTTGTTCAATGAAATAAATGCGAGAAAATTACATGGTGAAAGAAATGTGTTTAAAGGAATATTATCAAATCCCGTTTTCTATACCATTTGGATACTATGTTTTGTAGGACAAGTAATGAGAAAATGATAGATATTTTCTATTATATAAAATATTTATTTTATTTATACATTTAGATTCTTATTGTTACATTTGGAAATAATGCATTTAGTTGTGTTGCATTGACAATTGAACAATGGGGTTGGTGTCTACTGTTTGGTGTTGGTTCACTAGTTTGGGCACAAGTAATTTAACATAGAATATTGTTATTTCAATAACAAAAATCGTCCTTTATTTTCATTATAGATATTAATAATGATTCCAGTAAAACCATTTGTACGTTTATATTTCTGTTTCTGTCCATGTTATAAAAATGTCAACATTTCAAATGATGATGATGATGAATATGAACATATTAATCATGATGATGATAGTGAAACGAATATGGATAAACGAAAATTATTTTCATCTAAACGTTTTTCTCCAGCGTTAGTCATGCGATTAGGCGGTACGCCGTCAAAGATACTATGGCTAAGAGGATTTACACGTTTACAGATGCAAGTAAGTCGAAAAACTTGGTGTATATCTAGATGTGTATCTTAAGCCTACTGCGAATCACGTTGATTTACTATATCATTTTCAACTTATTTTAAATTATTCTAAACTCGATTCTAAGACAAACAGATAACGTAAATCATCAATAGAAAAAATATCGATAAACTATGCTATAAACAACAGTAAAAATATTTATTTAGATTATTTTGTTTGTATTTTAGTTTCGAGTAATACATGCATTTCGTAGTCGATTAGAAGAAGTTAGAGAAAAATTGTATGAAGTGAGACATTCTAGTCAACCGGGTTATACAAATATTTGTTAAAATGTTTTGTTTCTAGTTTAATTTCAAATAACATTTTTAGTTTTTTTATTAATTGTCCACTGGTTGTTTCTTTTTTTGTTCTCCTTTATTTTTTAATATGCAATATTTTACTTTATGGTCTACATTGTCCGATACTTTGTTTTTATTGTTCGTTTTCATAATTTTGATAAATAAATATTTTTATGTATAGTAGTGACTAATATGATAGAATTAAAATTATTTATTTATCATAAATACTAACCTTTTTTTTTGTTCCATCATGAAATCGTCAAAAAAACAGTAACATACTATATATTAACGTCAAAGTTAAACGGTAGAAGTCAAAAAATAAAAAAATATTTTATTTTTAGGATATCGGTTACAAAATATTTTTCTACATTTTTATTTTTAATAATAACCTTGAAGATTTTATTAGTTCTCACATTTCGAAACAATCCATCGAAAAAGTTTGCTACTATAGATTAATAGATGAGTATAATTATATTCTTCTTTTTATACGTCATTTCGATTAAAAATATTGTGATTGTCAATTGATGACAACTTATTAATTACAATGAAACGCATATTGACAAGTCGGAAGTTAACTTTTCTTCATCTAACCCGCTGTATGAGAAATTTCCTGTTATTGAATAAATGAATGAATGAAAATAAAAAAAAAAAAAAAAAAAATATAATAATAATATTCTATAGGTCTGTTATTTTTTTTTTTTGAATTAACAATATAGATATATAGATGACGTTTTGTATATGGTAACAGCTGGTTTATCTGATGCACATCATCATTATTTTCTTTTTATTAAATGAAAGGAGAGGGAAAAAGAGGGAAAACGATTGAATATTAATTACATACTATACAGCGGCAAGTTTTACTGTATGACATGTGAATTAGCTCAAAGCATTAATTAAACATATCATAAATGGATATAAAAGAAAAACGGATGAAAAAAAAAGAAAGATAATGTATGTGTGTGTGTAATGCATTTATTCATTAATAAGACAGTAATGATAATATTTGATTAACTTCGGTAATAATTATTTAAATATTTTGTTACATGGAAGTTAAAAATGTAGATTTACGAAATAGAGAAGAAGAAAAGAAGACGAAGAAAAAACAAAAAAAAAGAAAGTTAAAAACAATTGTGACACAGTGTTAATAATTTAATATATTTTTTTTTTCCATAATATTAGATCTGTCTTATAGTTAGAATTTTAAATAAATTTATCCTATTTTAATAAATTGTTAAATTCTAACTATGAGCGATGCAATAACAAGAACAACTGTTGAACATTTGGATAAACCGGAATATTCATCATTGATTACTGTCAACTTACTTGGTAGACTACGAAGTACAACTGAACAAGTTCGAAATGTTCAAGCAGTTATGGAAGAAGAAGGTAACATTTTATAGTGTCGGTGGCTCACAAACATTTTTTATCTTCTCCCAAAATGTTGTCAACGAGTCAGAAAAAATAAAAAGAATGAGTCGACAAATCTGGACTAAATCGCGATGGCTCATTAAAAAAAAAATTGCATTTGTAAACAAAGACGGTATATATCATGAAATTCAGGAAAAACATATCCGATTTTTTAATTAGATATTAATAGCTTGATGATAGATAAAGAGAGAAAAGTTTTGCGTCCTGTATTCTTGAACAAAATTCCTTTTTTATCCGAATGGATATTTATCATGATTAAGGGCTTGGGGGGGGGGGGGGGGGGGGGGGGGGGGGGGGGGGGGGCGGGGGGGGGGGCGGGAGCGGGGGGGGGGGGCGAGGGGTAGGGGGGGGGGGGTGGGAGGGGGGGGGGG